CCTACATTTCCCATAATGCAACTTATCTTTTATCAGAACCTTTGTGCCTCGTAAATGCTCACTTATTTTAAACCCCATAGGCCTACCTCCAGTCGGCTTGTGTGCATGATTGATGCATTGCTTATCACACTTTATCTGGCAAATATTCTTATGTATTTACTATTTCCTCAGTCATTATGAGCTTGCACTAACATATTAGCCCTTAACTCTCCTTTAGAGCTATTTCTTTTTGATACAAAGTCTGAAAACAGCAAACATGACATATACATAAGAAAATATTGCAACATAGATTTCCCAGCCCTTAACATAGAAGTTGTAACAGAAGTCATGGCTTTGCAGAATTCCTCCTACCCTCTCATCTAAATGTATTCCTCTATGAAGTCCCACTAAGTATTTTTTCCAATCTAGTTGGCAGGAGTTTCATTTAATTAAACATTTGTGTAATTACTTTGTAAATAGTACTCGTGCTCTGGATTTAGCGATCCATAGGGGGAGACTGGTTGGACACACTAGCCTGAGGGTCCATTTAACAGTTTAATTAAGGTCTTCAGTGAGTGAGTGAGGTTTTAAAAGTAGTTTGTGTTGAATAAAAGAAAGAAAAAAAGTAATAGGTTTGTTCCCAATAAGTCCTTCCTGTAGATTGTTTTTGGAATCAGTTCTTTCTCCGTTAGTCTTCCCTCTTGAACCTTTTATTCTCCTTCAGTAAACTCTCTCTGTTTCCTTTTACCTAGAGAAACAAAGGTAAAGTTTGCCCAGATTATTTAGCTCAGCAGCTCACCTCTATCTTGCACGGGTTATCAGCTATCATTATTTACAACAGCAGGTTAAAGGGGAGCTGAGTGTTGTGCATGAAATAAGATGTGTGTGTGTGACTATGTGTGAGTCCAGAGAACGCTGTCCACTTAATAACCTCTTTTTCTTCTACTCATCACTTTTCCTCTCCTTTGTTGGACCCACTCTCTGAGGCTTGATCGTGAATCTATTCAGGCCTCCTGAAAACACAGGACTCCCTCTTTTCCTTCAATACATAAACATTAGGCAGAAACAATTACCCTGCCAGGCATATTGCACCAACACATTTGATATGAAAAGTATTGCTTTTTGTGTTGAATGGAGAGAACAAATGGAAAGACTCAAGACAATGTCTCCTGAGCGAGCATAGTCATATATTTTCAAATGGTTTGTTTCTTTACCAGGAAGCTATATTTTTCTGTCCTCTACATCCATCAATTTTAATATTTGTATACGACTTTGGTTTCCTAATTCCCCCTAACAAAACAGTCATATACCTCATTCACACCAATGCAACTCCGGTTCAAGCTCCGTGCTAGAGCTTTTCAGGTTCAGAACCGGTTCTTCGGTTTAACTGCGGCTCTTTTCACACCGCCCAGAGTCCAACTGGTAATGCGTCATTGCGTCATCGTTTGCGTCATGACGTAACCATTTGTGTGCCTGCTTCATAAAGCCAAACCGCGCGGATGAAATCTGTTGCATTCATTTCTTATGGCTCTATCTGCAGCTTTTCCGGAGTCATTTCTGTGGTTTTAGACTATATTCTTATAAAAAAGTGTACTCGTGTCAATAAAGTTTTTTTTAAAACACAACTGCTTCCGAGGTCGGTCTTATTTTTTAAGGTGGACTGAACCATGAGTGTGGAGTAACGTTGTATCTTTCATTTAAATGAACTGTAACCTTCACCCAGGTATGTAACAGCTGTTCTCAAATGAACACGTGAAGTAAAGTTTAATATTTATAGTTTTATAGATTTATAATGAGTTATAATGAGAGGTGATCAACGTGAATGCTCAGGTTCCACCTTAACACGCAGACAGGTTGCTTCACCATGAGCAGAAACCTTTATATATACAGTCTATGGCAGAAACACTGAAACTCTGAACTCTTGTTAAGTTTCTCCATCGTTGTGTACAAACTGGATAAAAAGCTGGCTTTTTGTTGTTGTTCAGGAGTTGATCCTGACTCTGCCCCCGCCTCGACGTAAGCGTGACGTATGCGATGCTTTTGCTCTGGCCGGACAATTTGTTGGTGCTTGAAACGAACCGGATTCCGGAGCTAA